CTTTGTAGCCCAGGCTGGCCTCGAACTCACAGAGATCCTCCTGCCTCTGCCTCCCAAGTGCCGGGATTAAAGGCGTGCGCCACCCAACGCCTGACATATTCTAATAATTTTTTTAAACTGTCGTGTAAGTCAGGCAACAGCTGCATGTTCCTGTTATCACAGCACTTAGACTGGGAAGGCAGAAGAAGCAGGAGTTTAAGGCTAGCCTCGGCTCTATAACAGATCTGAGGCCAGCCTGAGCTACAAGAGACCTGCCTCAAAAATAACAGCAGCCCAAGCTTGCATGTACTTTTAGAAAACAATACAGAAATTCAAGAAAGCGAGAAACTCCCAATGCAAGCCAGTGGTTACTTTGGCAGGTGGGGGTAGCAGGCAGAAAGGGATGGGTATTTGGGAGCTGCACATAGTGGCCCTGGTTGGATTGCTTAACCCTATTTCTGAAACTGGTTCACAGCTCCACAGGTATTCATTATATCTCACACACACACACACACACACACACACACACACACACACACACACACACACACGTTGGTTACTCTGTTTTTGTTGTTGTTTTTATATTTAACCTTGTTTGGGTCTGCATTTAGAGATGAAGCAATGTTTCCAGCCTCAGAGACAGGCATGGCAGCACATGCCTGCGATCCCAGCAGGAGGCTTGCTGTAGGTTCAAGGCCAGCCTGGGCTACATAGCAAGACCATGCTCTGAAGAAGAAGGAAAAGGAAGGGGGAGAGGAAGAGGAGGAAGATTATTTTTTTACAGTTTCCCATCTCAGATCCCCAGGTCCAAAGTCCCCTTCGAGCAGCATCCCAAGTGGCTCGGTGACATTAGGAGCAGCACCATGGAGAGAATAAACATCCAGCCAAGCCTCAGAGCCTCACTGTATTCCTACTGCACCGAGGGATGAGGGTAGGGGGTAGGTCCGCAAGCCTCAGCGAGGACTCCCAAGAATGGGGTGGCAGGAAGCCTTCCTTGGGCTCAAATCTGGAGAGTGAACAGACTGGAGGCTCCTGCCTGAGGCCCCAGAGCTCTGCAGTCACCTCATAGCCCTGTTCTCCCAGACTGCTTAACCCTCACAGGCCCTAGGACCCTCCTGCACACCACTCCAGGAAAACCGTGCTCCTGCATGGCGGTGCTGGCCAGTCGGGCAGGCCTGGACCACAGCTGCAGCTGTACACCCCGGTTAGAGTGTGGCCACCCCCTGGTTCTTCCTCATTTCCTCCAGGAACTGAGTCTGGCCCTGGATCCCACTGCTCCTGCCTCCCAGCAGAATTAGCAGCCTAGTTTGTTACGGTTGAGTGTCTCTCCAGCACCCAGCTTGTCTGGTTGTTATCTGGGTGCATGGCTAACTTCTGGAAGCTAAAATCGCGTCTTATTTATTCATTCCACAAGCATGATAAGTACCTCTGATGTGCTATATGCCTCACAAGACACTGGGGATTCAGTGATGAGTAACAGTGCTCTGTCTTACTCAGAAGCTGAATTATGGAGTTAGGACAACAGAAGGCTAGATCATCTGCAGAGAGTTTGGAGACTGGGTGCAGGCCAACGATCATCTAGTCAGAGTCATCTACGCACAAGGGAAACAAGACACAGGGGTGACATCACTTCAGAAGGTCACATGTTAATAAGGTACAGAGCCAGGATGACCCCAGAAACCACAGGGACCTGAGACCAAGTTGAATGTCCGGCCTGAGCATGGTAGCTACTGCCAGGCTGGCCTTGGAAAGCCGTTCTCAGAATACCTGCTGGTGGCCAAGTCAGGCCTCTGGGAGGTATGTGCCCCCTCTATCTGGAGGCCACACACTGGAGGTAAGCTGGGGTCACATTCACAGGGCCAAATCTCAAGCCAAAATCTGCACTCCCCCTCTTTCCGATGAGGGGTAGGGGGTCAAATCTGAAAAAATGAGGATCGCCTCCTCACAGGCAGTGACTTTTGGGACACACACTCCCACCCTGAGAAGCATGAGGCCTCCTCTGTTGCAGAGACCATAACCCTGGAATCTGACCTTAACTTACCCTCCCCCTACACCCCCATCACGTCACTCCCAACCAGTGATTCTCAACCCATGGGTCTCGACCCCTTTGAGGGCAGTCACAAATCAGATCTCCCGCATATGAGATATTTACGTTACGATTCATAATGGTAGCAAAATTACAGTTATGAAGTAGCAACGGAAATAATTTTATGGTTGGGGCGGCGGGGGGGTGTCACCACAACATGAGGAACTGTATTACAGGGTGGCAGCGTGAGGAAGGTTGAGAACCACTGCTCCCAACATCAATATGAGGCAAGGCTCCCTGACAGAGCTCCTTACTGTCTGCTCTCTGGCCCCGGGATCCCCAGAGGCCAGGCCTAGATGGAACTCCCCAGAACCTGCTAAGGGAAATAATAGGGTCCTGGGCCCCTCTCTGTCCAAAGAGCAGAGCAGCCTGGGTGGCATCTGACTCAGGAAATGGGCTGTATTTTCAGCTTTTCTGCACCAAGTGCTCACTTTCAAAGCTCCCACTCAAGGATCCCTAAAGGAGCGCCGGGCCCCGAGTGCACAGCACAGTCCAGTGCACATCTCAGATGACAGCCCAGCCCCATTTCACAATAGCGCAGCGACAGCCCAGCCCCAACCCGTCCGAGACTGTTTTGCTTGGCCCGCAGTATGTTTGACATGAATCGGGTGGCCAACATTGTAACTCTAGGAGAGGTCACATAAAAATCCAGGTTTGAAAGGAGAAGAACGGCTTCCCTGAACCTGCTCCCTCGCCCTCCAAGGAAGAAGCCCCAGTGCCCACTGCTCCTCATTGTCACCCCCTCCCCACCTTGCCCACCCACGGAGGGCTATTTATCTCCTACCAGCTGCCCCGATGACTCTCCTTCCGGCACATTACTTTCCAAGGCCACAGGGGGCTTCAGAATTTGTGAATTCACATTTTAGGGTCTGAGGACGATTTTGTCTGTGGAAAGCGTGGCTCCGCGGCCTGTGAATTCTGCAGGTTCACTCCCTCCCCCCACGAGTGAGGAGGGGAGAGCAGCAGATAGGAAGGCCAGCTTGGTTGGCCATGCTGGCTTTGGTGCAGAACGCCAGCAGAGGCCCTGAGCCGGACCGTGAAAGAGCGGCCCTGAGTAAGACGTGGAGGGAAGTCATGAACCTGGGGAGGGTTGTGGGCTGGAGTCTGAGCCTCAGCATGGAGGGTCGACTTTTTCTCTTTAGATTCTAAAGTGGGTCCATTCCTACAGCACAACATTGCCCTTCAGCCTTCCTTTCCCTACTCCAGACTCAAAGCTCCCCTCAGCCCTGTACATAGAAAGCAGAGGAACCACCAAGGCCTAGGCCAGGTCCCAAAGACCTTGACACAGATGGCCTGAGAGGCTCCCTCCCCACAGAACGCACAGAAAAACACAGTCATCTACGTCTCTGTGTTCACACAAGTATCTGTGGACTTAACGTTTGTCCGCCATCATACAATTAACAAACTCTCCTTGGAGACAAACCCAAGATGGAGATCATTGAAACCATTGTCCTGCCAACTGGGGCAGAACAGTCCTGATTTGGCGTGAGAAAGGCTAGAAGAAGGTATCTCTTCTCCCCAGAGGAGTACCAAGCTCCACCCGGCTTTGACGTCACCATCCTAATCCACTATTACTACTCCTACTAGGCCATTTTGAAACGACAAGAAAGAATCTGCCGTGGGATGGGCCTTTGCACACTGTGGGCCCCAAGTACCTGGTGGTGGGGGGAGGGTTCCCTAGAAGTGGGAGGGTTCTACATGGAGCCACTGCCCAGCCCAGTTTGGTTCGCTGACTGGCTTGTGTTAGAGTGACAGCCGATGGAGGCCCCCAGGCTCTTGTCCAGGCCGACGTGGGGTCCCTCTTTGTATCAGTGACTCAGACACACTCAGCTGACTCCTAACATCACCCTCCCTCACCAGCTCTTTTCCTTTCCCCCTAAAATTTGGCTCTGTAGCGGGAGACAGCTTCTTTCTCACTGCCCGCCCCCCCCAACAAGCCCTCAGAGCACCCTTTTCCCACAAGAGGTGGGCTGCCAATACTGAAGGAAAACAGTGGGAACAGTCAGATGAAGCTATGGAGAAGAGAGCCCTGCGTCTGCGTAGGCAGTCTGCCTTCACATTTTTATAGTTACGGTCCCGGACCGGCCAGGGCTAATGCTCTTTTTGCCCTGAAGCCAAGCATCCTCCCTTTTAACCCTTGCTCCCATCCTCCGCAGCCTCCCTTCAGCTACCTCCTCCAGGCCCTTTAACTGCCAGCAACCTACTTTCCCGACGTTGATTTATGGTGACTGGAGGGATAGCAGAGTTAGAGCTAGCCCCCACCCGCAACACCATTTTAAAACCACCCAACATTCTGGGCAGAACTTTTCTCGTGAAAGGCAAATACAGACCTACACAGTCCCCCATGGAGCTGCAGACAGACACACACCTCCTCATAGCCAGAGATAACAGTGAGGGGCAAGCCCTCCTGAGACCCACTGCCCACCCTAACATGCTCTCTCCCATTCTGGGCACTCGGGCACACATCCCACCAGCCTGCCCTGCACCGTGAGCCATTTGGGCCTTCTTTTGAGGAAAAACACTCGGCTCCCAAGAAGGTTTCTGACAGGGCCATTTTTTTTTTTCTTCCAGAGCCGCTGGATAAATTGCTTTTGTGCAAAAATAAACACAAGCGAACTGCATTAGCCGAGCGAGTGACACATTAGTTACAGATGCAGGGCCTGTCAGAACATTGAGGGAACAGCTTTTATTGGGGAAAGGCTGAGAGACTCATAAATAACCAGTTGGCAATCTCACATAAACATTTGTGCGTTCACATAAACACCGCCTACCACAAACGGGGCCTGGCTGCCAGCAGGGCTTGGAAGAGCCCTTTCTGCCCGTCCTCAGAGAATAACGACGACGACGAGGCTGGAGGTGGCGAAGGGTCACAAGCCCCCTTTCTCCCAGAGTTCTCTGCTTCTTGGACCCGCACCCTGGGCTCTGTGGGGTGGAGGGAGAGATCCAAGTTCTAAATCCTAAGTGTCTGCCAGAGAAAGAGGGTCAATGCCCAGCTCCAGTGGAACAGCTGGTCCCTTTTCCTCCCTCCACAGAGAGCTCGCATTAGCCAGCCCAGAAAGGAGAGAATAGGCTATGCTGTTGCACTGGGGGCTGGCCCGCTGAGTAAAGCCAAGTGAAGGATTTGAAAAGAGCGTGGAAATCCTTCTCAATACAACCCCAGTGGTTCCCATCAGAATCGCTGGGAAAATGGGATGAAGCCAGTATCCCCCCTCAGCACCAAGGACGAAGGCTACAAAGGGTGGTACCAGCCTCACCCCGTCCCAAGCCACAGGGCGCCTAGGCTTCCTCCCATTGGCTCTTGAGAATGTCCTTAGGTTGGCCCTGGACTCCCTTTCTTTCCTCTGAGACCAACACTTCAGACCACATCTGTTTGAGGCTCCAAAATAAGGGCAAGGCTGGCCGTGTGGACTGACCAACCAGTCCGTTCTCGCTGCTTTCCCTTCATGCCAACTCCACCCCTTTCCCAGCAAATGCCCCTTGGAAAGGCTCCGGTGCCCTTGTTTGCACTGAGGTGAATGGAGTCTTGCTACGGGGCTATGTGGGCATCGTTTGATCCCATCTCCCTCCCAGACGGGCGAAGTGTGAGCGTGTAAGAGTCAATGCAAGCACATAGCCCTGAACTCCTTGTCAAGTTTTAGAATTGGCTAAAGGGGGAAAGGAAAATGCTGGGTCTTCTGCCCCCCACCCTTGCATTTGGGATTCCTTCAGGAAAGAGAGTAATAAGGACAAAACAGAGCTCCCACGGGCCTCAAGATATCTCACAGCGAAGACTGGCCCCAGCTAAAGTGCCATCTTCTTTCCTCAGCTCCACATCAACTGGTCACTGCTTCCTGCCACACCGAAGGACCAAAAACACTGAGACTGAGTACCTTTCTGTTTTATCCATCATGTTCCTTCATCTACTCCCATGTTTTTTTCAGTCTACCTTCCCTCTCTGTCCCCCATGCACCTCGGGGGTCCAGTCCATCTGAATTAAATCGCCATCTGGGTCCTACTTTTATCCTTTTTCTTTTGAGAGCCTTTCTCCTTCTGCAGGCCCACATCCAACCCATCTGTCCAGACACCTTGAAAACTGCCTTCCAGAGTCTTCTCTCTGTCTCTTTGTCTCTGTGTGTCTCTCTGTGTATGTCTCTGTGTGTCTCTGTGTGTCTCTCTCTGTCTTCCTGTCTCTCTATCTCTCTCTTGTCTCCCTCTCAACCCTGAGAGAACCCTTGAGTGTCTTACTGTTAACTTTCCCTCTCGTTCTGGGTTGTTGGTGCAGAGCGAGTATTCCCTCGTACGCCCCGCCCCCAAGGCTCAAGCTCTCAGATCTGAGGCATCCCTCTTTGAGGTTCCCCTTCCTCCAAAACACTCCTCCAGCGCCCAGGATGTAGTACCTGTGCTGAATCAGTGAAGGGAGACGGTGATACAGTCTGGAGTCCCGGCTCTGACACGGTGGGATGAGGTGACGGGGTGGGAGGGAGGGAGATGGCGGCCGTGATGGAAACTGGCCCGTAACCTTCCCCTAGGCAGTCTCCTTTAGGCTCTCATTTAGTAGCTGAATAACTCTGCTTTGGAAGAAAAATTAAGATGCCAGGCAGGTACCAACAGCCAAGCACCACAGCTCTATTGACTAAGGCCCCGCCATCTAGGCTCTTTCTTCCTGTGAACAAATGGAATGTTTTATGGGAAGATAGAAAGAACAGTCCTAGATGGCAATGTGGAAGGTTCTTTGGCCAAGACAGCCCTCAGGAGAGAACACAGTGCAGCAATAATTTATTGCATTCGATATTTTCACTTCCAACCTTATTTTTATAGACATTATTTCATAGGCTCCAGCTTAAACACAGATGGAAAAGATTCTGGCTTTGTAATAAGAGATGGATTATGGTGGGCCCACCCCGCTGCTCTGTGCCTGTGAGTAAACGCACATGATCACGGCCTTAGGTGGGGCTGGGAGATGCCTTTATTGTGTGTGTAGATTTCGATCTAACAATTCGACACTCATCTCTTCTTCCTCATGGCCAGGCCCTCTGGATGCTTCCGGGGGAAAATGTGATGACCATGTCGGTGGGCAAGAAGAAAGTATGGCTGAAAAGAAGGAAGGAGGGGGGAACGCACGGTATTGTCTACATGACTATGCTGTATGCATTGCCTTGCTCTTTGGGTGTGTGTGTGTCAGGATCTGGTGTAGTTGGAAAATAGCGTCTAAATCTCTCTAATGTTGCGGGAGGTGCTCTCCCTCCATGCTGGGGCACAGAGTTTCATCTCAATGAACGTCTTTAAAATCAGGGTGGAGGAGCTGGGGAGACGGCACAGTTGGGAAAGTGAATGCCTTGCAAGTCCAAGGATTGGGCTTCAGTACAAAAGCTGTGCTTGGTAGTGTGGACGCAGAGACAGGAGGATGCCTGGGACATGGCATGCTCTCCAGCTGGCCTAGCCTACTTGGCCTGTTCCAGGTCAATGAGAAGCCTGAAGAAAGAAAGAAAGAAAGAAAGAAAGAAAGAAAGAAAGAAAGAAAGAAAGAAAGGAAGGAAGGAAGGAAGGAAGGAAGGAAGGAAGGAAGGAAGGAAGGAAGGAAGGAAAAAAGAGAGGGGGAAGGGAGGGAGGGGGAGGGAGGGAGGGGAGGGAGGGAGGATGGAAGGAAAAGAATAAATAAATGATGGATGGTACCTGATGAATGAAATCTAAGGTTTCTGTATATCCCCTGCCACATAAACACATACACACACAGGCATGCTCACACACAGCAACATGATTGAACCTGCGATTTTTAGAGCCTGGTGTGGCAAGCTTTGTTGAACCATCCTTATTTCGGGAAAAGAGAAAAGGAACACAAGAGGAGACCGAAAGGGGGACATACTTGAAGGGAAAAAAGTAAGAGGGACGTAGGAAGGTGGAAGGAGAATTGCTCAGACCAGAGCCAGCAGGAAGACCCCGAAGGAGATGACCTAGCCCGGCAGGAGTGTCTTGGCCCACGGCATGGCCCACACACATCCACAAACTCCATGAGTGCAAGCTGAGGCCAGCTTGGCTGCTGGCAGGCAGCAGGCCGAATAGAGACCAGGCAGGCAGCTTGCACACATGCCTTAGCGGCAACGCCCCTCTTCCCTCCCTCGGGGGAGTTGTCATCAGACTTGATGAAGCTTTGGAGTATATGTATCAGGAAACACTAGGGACTCAGGCTCAGGGGGCGGGGCAGAGGCAAGAACAGCCCCCACTCAGCTTCGAGGGTCAGTGGAAAGGGAACAGAGGGAGGGCAGACTCAGGGAGGAAACCCACTTCTGAGGACCCTGTCCTTGTGGAGGAACTGCTATGTGGAGTGAAATAGCCCGCAGAGGCTGAGAGGCCATTCCTGAGTGGGTCTATCCATGAGGCCCTCTTGGCAGAGCTCTGTGGGAGATGGCTGCCGGTGGCCTAGCAGAGCTGTTTCTTCGGTCTGTAGACACTTCTATATTGCAAAGTCACAGTGGTAAAATTCTTAGGACCCATCCTTGGGGTATCCTTAAGGTTCGACATACCAGCAGAGGTAAGAATCCGTGCAGAGGAAGCCTCCTACCCTCTTCGACTTGGTATGTCAATCATTCGTGTCTGCTCTCCTGAAGCGGAAGTCCCGCCAGCACCGAGGGAGCCGTGAAGGACTGGAAGTTTTGAAACAGGAGTAAACAAGGAATCTGCTTCAGGTAGCAGAGAGCTTCAGGAAGGCGGTACCCACCACCTGACCTATTTGAGGAGTCTGGCCCATGGGCCCAGGAGCTTATGAGATACAGAAGACTTGCTACTTCCCAGATCCCTTATTTGGAGGAATTGCATCCCTCTACACATGTATACACTTTAGGACTGGTGGGGTTACCTGTCAATCAAAAGGCTCCTCAACAAGCACTCTTGAAAACCAATTTGAGCCCTAGCTTTCTGACCTCCCAGTCCTGAGAATCTATATATGCCCTTTTAACACAAGCCTATTTGAATTATTCTTTGGTCACTCAGAGCTAAAAAAAAAAAAAAAAAAAAAGAAAGTCCCAACTAGTACACACGGGTAATAAGTGAAATATGCTTCTCCTAGACATGGCCAAGCCACAGCCCATGGGCCACATGTGCCGCAGCATAGCTATGAATGTGGACCAAGACAAAATCATAACCTTACATAAAACATCATGAGATATTTGGTGCTTTTTTGTGTGTGTGACTCAACTGTGTGGTTCTCGGGTGTGAATTTTGTAGACAGTGCTGTGTTGCAATGTCAAAGGGTTGCCCATGCTTGCAAGTTTAAGCCAAAGAACTAAATCAGAATAAAAATGCATTTCCCCAGGAGCAGAGGCCCATAGACGTCCGGGAAAGAAGCAGAGAGACTTGGACAAAGGGCTGGAAGCAACAGGCAGAAGAAGCCCCATTCTGCTCCTAGAGGTGGAAGGACCCATATTTCACACATAGGTGCACACATGCACACACACATACACATACAAGCACACTTGTATCATAAAAGCACATTGATCCTTATCTTCCTTGGAATCCGGCACTCAACCTCAGCACACAAGGTCTCCAGCTTTAAGCATCCATTCTCATGACTGACACTTTTAAGTCCTTGAGTCAGCAGGAGACTGAGTCTGCATGTTATGTGAACCATGAATTAAGCTGTCTCCCACATTAGCAATGGTAGGACAGACTGAAGGGTGGAAGTGGGTAAAAGAAAAAAACATGGATTTATCAGTCAAGTCCTCTCTCACAAATAGAGAGTGTGACAGCGGTATTCCCTGGTAGTGGTGAAACACACATTTTCTTCCATAGGAACTGGCAGATCAACCCAGTGTTTGTTACATTTGCAAATCACAGGCGTGGAACATTTTCCGGGATACATAATTTATGATTCACCTACATTTGCACATACGCATCTCAAGATACAAACACATGACACGTGGGACTGACTCTTTACATTGGCAACTAACCAGACATGGAGCCACACCACAGTGGCGAATGATTTATTATTATAAAAATGTTTACTAAGGTATCACTAAAATTTCAAAACTCAAGCTCAAAGTCAGCCTCACTTAAACATTTTTTTTTTTTTTTTTTTTTTTTTTTGGTTTTTCGAGACAGGGTTTCTCTGTGTAGCTTTGCGCCTTTCCTGGTACTCGCTTTGGAGACCAGGCTGGCCTCGAACTCACAGAGATCCGCCTGCCTCTGCCTCCCGAGTGCTGGGATTAAAGGCGTGCGCCACCACCGCCCGGCCCACTTAAACATTTTTATTGAGCTTTATATGTGCTTGACGAAACTCACCAGTTTGAAACTGTCGTAGATAAATGTTGTGGTTTGAATGTAGGATGTCCTCCACGGGCTCACATGTGTGACCCTTGGTCCTCAGCTAATGGGGTTGTCTTGGAAGGTTGTGGAAACTTCAGGAGGTGGATCCTTGATCAAGTGGGTCACTGTGGGCAGGTACTGATGTTCTGTGGCCCAGTCCCATCTCCTGTCTGCTCTTTGCCTCCTGACTGTTAATGCCTGGTGGCCAGTCATGGTGTCACATTCCTGTCACGGTGCCTCACCAGCCATGATGGGTTCTATATAACCCACCTGTAACCCTGAGCCAAGATAAACCTTTGCTCCTGATGTCACCGTTACCAGGCATTTTGTCACGGGAGCAAGGAAAACAGAGAATGCAGTCATTCAGAAGGTTTTTAAAGACAACATTATTCATTACACTTATTTGTTTGTCTGTTTATTTATTTTAGGTTTGTATATGTGCATTCACACCACAGCACAAAGAGAACTTGCAGGAGTCAGTTCTCTCCTTCCAACTTATGGCTTCTAGGGATTGAACTCAGGTCCTCAAGCTCGGTGGTAAACTGCCTTTACTTGGTGAGTCATCTCAGCGGCTCTGAAGACATTTTTAAAGTTTACACAAGAAGGGGTGGGTAGATGGTTCACTAGGGAAATGCCTGCAGACCTGACTCCCATCACCAAGCATCCAGGTGTAGCACAGCTGTGAGCACCTGGAATCCCAGCACTAGGGAGGAGACGACAGGACTTCGTGTAATTTGATGATCAACCAGTCTAACCAAATTAGTAAGCTCCAGGTTCAAGGAGAGACTCTGTCTCAAAAAATAACGTGGGACTGAGAAAGACACCCCACAAGGCCCTCATACACACATGCACACACCCATGCAAGTAGACGCATACGCACATTTTTACATGAGAAGCAATCTTAAATTTGGATCTTTTACAGTTTACCCTGCAGTTTTAAAATTAAAATAGGGTGGCGTTCCTGGGCTGATTCGCCATCTCTGTATAATCAACCCCAAACCTTAGTGGCTCTCAATGAGTTATTTTGCTCTTTCATAGTTCTGCCAGTTGACGGTGAGAGGTGGTTGCTTGGTGATGTGAATTTCTCATGCAATCAAGAGGCAGCAGGGCCTGAAGCCTGAAGCCAAATGTAGCTTTGACGGTATAGTGCATCCAAGACGGCAGCATCTACATCCTCTTTCCTCTGCCTCAGATGGAATGGATGGAGCACATGGGATATGCTTAAGCATAATTTTTATTGTCATGTGGCCTTTCTTATGGCTGTCTTGACTCTCACTGAGGAATCAAACTCCTAACATGATGATTAGCCTACCCCGCAGGAGTATTGTTTGTTTGTTTGTTTTCTTAGGCAGGGTTTCTTTGTGTAACCACCCTGGCTGTCCCGGAACTCACTCTGTAGACCAGACTGGCCTCAACCTCACAGAGATCCGTCTGCCTCTGCCTCCCAAGTGCTGGAATTAAAGGAGTACGTCGCCACCACTCAGCCCACGCTGAGTGTTCTAAGACCCCAGGTAGAAACCAAAAGCCTTTTATGACCTATACTCAGAAGGCATGTAGCATCATGGTCACTGCTTCTGTGGGTTCAAAGTAAGTCACAGGGACAACCCAGATTTAAAGGAGTGGACCACCCAAGTGGCTAATAGCAAGAAGTAACTCATTGCTGGGGGCGGGGTTGAGGGGGTTGTCTTTGCAGACCAATTACCCATGTCTGATCCCAATGAATCACCTTCCTCTAATGTGCAAATCCACCTGCCCACCAAGAACCCCCAAGGTCATTAAACAGTCTCGGACTCAAGTTCCAAAACCAAGACTTAAGCATCTAAGTGGGGTATAGGTGCACACGCGACCCTTCAGGCATGGTTCTTCTTGGTCCTAAGGTTTGTGAGCTAAGTAAGAGACAAGTTATTTTCCCACATTCAACACCCAACAGTGGGGCCGGCAGGCACAGTGGAAACGTAGTGGGTGTTCGTCTCCCAAAGAGAAGAGCAGGCCTGCAACCCAGCTACACACACGACACCAACTCCTTCATTAGGTCTACTTTCTCTCTTCCAGAAGTGTTTTCCTGGTTCCAAACCCTTCATTATTGTGCTGGTTAGCTTTTCGTCAACCTGACCCAGGCTGGCGTCATCTCTGCAGATGGAATCTCCACGTAGGAATTGCCTCCATCAGACTGGCCCATAGACAAGCCTGCAGGCACTTTCTTGACTAATAGTTGACCTGGAAAGGCCCAGCCCACTGTGGGCAGTGCCACCCCCCCCAGGGAACGTGGTCCTGGATTGTAAGGAAACAGGCTGAGCAAGCCACGGGGACGGGACGAGCATTCCTCCAAGGTCCCTGCTTCATTTCACATCAGGGTCCTGCCTTGCTTGAGTTCCTACCCTGGCTTTCCTCGGTGATGGACTGGACTGGACTCAAGGTGTCTATGCCAAGTAAATCCTCTCTTCTCCAAGCTGCTTTGGGGAAGAGAGCAAACTAGGACAATTGTCCTCCCTTTTCATAAGAAATCACTAATCGCTGCCTCCAAGAGGCTTCTTTATTTGAGCTATATGTCTTTCGGTCCAACTTGTAGAATTATTTTTAAAACTGCGGGCTTCCCTTTTTTCCCCCTCAATTTTAACTATGTGTAAATGTGTGGAGGGGCATCTGCCCACGAGTGCAGTACCATGGAGGCCAGAAGAGAGTAGACGATGCCCCGCATCTGGAGAAACCAGAGGCCATGAGATGCCCAATGTGAGTGATGGGAAAGGAACTCGGATCCTCTACAAGACCATAAACACTCTTAACCTCCGAGCCATCTCTCTAGCTCCTGTAAGCGTTTATATATCACATTCTAACTTCCTCCATTAGGCAAAAGCCACAACCATTTATTTATTTACTTTAGGGCTTATCTTGACTTAAGCCACCAGGAAGGGGCCCGTTGAAGTCCTTAGAAGCCATGCTGTCCAGTAGAGCTAAGACAGTATCTGCAAGGTCTTCAGAAGCCTTGCTGTCTACCCATGAGGCCTCCAAGACATGCCCTTGAGTGTTACTGAGGCATTACTGAAGGATTTACAGCCACACCCTTGGCTTCCTCTGCATCTCAGCCCACAATTTACTGGCAGCACCCCGACTTGTGCCTTTGCCCTGAAGCCTGTTCTTCTGTTGAGAGCCTTCAGCTGGAGCAGCATGACTACCTCCTTATATTTCCTCAGTTCTGCTCCAAAGTGGAACAGCGCCTTCCTTAGTTCACGGTCATGACTCTTCCGCTCGACAAAGTCAGCTCGGAGAAGCTCCAGGGCCCTTTCACTGCGTCGCTTGGAAATTGCTTTAGACAGGATGCTCTCTCCTGCCATGTCAGTGAAGGCCATGGCCTCACATCGGCCAGTGATGATCTCAGGCGTCCTTTGCTCAGATTTCCTCCTGGGTCCCAGGACTCCAACCATGTTCTCCTCAACGTTCCTCAGCTTCTGCTTTCTGAAGACCCCAAAGCAAAGGCCGCAGGTTTCCGTCCTCTCTCTCTCCATTCACCACATCCAGTCTAGAGGTACTGGCCTTCCCAAGAATGCCCCAGAGAACACTTCATTGTTTCAGTCCTGTGTACTCCTTCCCCAGTGAGTGAGTCTGAGCTGGCCTGTGACTCATGCTAACAAATGGAATGTGCTGGAAATAAGTTGCTTAAGTTTGGAAGCGCTCTTTCAGAATACTGCCAGCTCCCCCCTTTCCCTTTCCTAAGCACTCACTTCTGGGAGTCGTGAGCACCTTGCAAGACTTCCAGCTACCTCACTGGAGAAGCCAGTTGCTCCATTACAGAGAGGTCCACAGACATCCTGGGGAGAGGGAAAAGGCCAGTGCTGCCTGCCTTCAGTCCAGCCAGCCTCCTATGATCCCAGACACCCTTCCCTAACCACGATCGCCTGAGACTCCCAAGCAAGAACAGTGGCAGATGCCCTCCCTGATAAGCCCACTGGGCTCCCAGCACCACAAGAGATAAATAGTGATGGTTATTCTGGTTTTGTTTCAAATTCCAATTTTTTTCTTTGTTATTTAATCGCTTTGAAAGATTTTTTTAAAATTGTGTGTGTGTGTGTGTGTGTGTGTGTGTGTGTGTGTGTGTGTGTATCTTCACATGGGTGTGCACATGTAAGTGTGAGTGCCCTAGGAGGCCAGAAGAGGGCATCAGATTCCCTGGAGATGGAGTTCTGGAGGCTTGTGAGCTGCTTATGTGGGTGCTGGAAACCAAACTCAGATTTTCCATAGATGCTCTCAACCACGCAGCCATCTCTCCAGCCTCTCATTTTTAAAACTAGCATGCAAAGTTACAGGCTTCCTTAAGACATCTTACACCCTTCATTTGGGTTGACCCTCCCCATCACTGCATGGAGGTTGTTTTAAACTACCAAGTTGGGGAACAGCTTGCTATGCAGAAACTCATAATCCAAACAGCCTCAAATATAGCTTTGTCTTAGTGTTTGTGCTTCAGTTCCTTCCTATCACTAGAATGCAAATTATGAGTTCCTACCCTACAAAAACATGATTAGCAATTTTACTAGCACTGAAGGAAACTGGAGTTAGAAAAGTACTATGTGCTAATTTATAAATTATATGTATAAAATACACATATTATTGTATACATATTATATAATAATAAGTTATATATAATTATGTATATATATTATGACTTGTCCAAATATCACTGCCCATAATCACAACCTTTATATTCTTAGTAACTAAATCCTGCCATCTTCTGTATCTTACATATGTTCTATATCTTACATATGTTCTATATCTTACATATGTTCTATATCTTACATATGTTCTATATCTTACATATGTTCATTCATCTAAAACCCATCACTTGGGCTGGAGAGATGGCTCAGCTGTTAAAGGCTAGGCTCACAACCAAAAAATAAAACTCATCACTTTATATGTCTTTTCAATTATGCCATTTTGATTTCATCTCTTTCTTTATGGCTTTTATTACATTTTTTTCTTATTTTTATTTTTGCCTTTATTTATTTAAAGACATGGCCTCACTGTGTAGCTCTGGCTGGACAGGAACTCACTCATTAGACCAGGCTGGCCTTGAACTCATAGAGATCTGCCTGCCTCTGCCTCTGAGAGCCAGGATCAAAGGTGTGCACCACCACATGTGGCTTCTTTTCCATTTTTAACTTATTAGCTATTATTTGGGGTATATATACCAAGGCAGTCAGAGGGCAACTTTCCAGACTCGGTTCTGTCCTCACACTGTGGGTCCTTGGGTTGGAATTTAAGTCATCAGACCACTGAGCCATCTCCCTGACTTTCTATCTATCTATCTATCTATCTATCTATCTATCTATCTATCTATCTATCTATCTATCCATCCATCCATCCATCCATCCATCCATCCATCCATCCACCCACCCACCCATCCATCCATCCATCCCATTTATCTATCTATCTATCTATCTATCTATCTATCCATCCATCCATCCATCCATCCATCCACCCACCCACCCACCCATTTATCTATCATCTATCTATCTATCTATCTATCTATCTATCTATCTATCTATCTATGTATCCATCCATCCATCCATCCATCCATCCATCTATTTATTTGAGACAGGGGTGGGGAGGAATGTCACTGTACAGCCTACATTGCCCTTAAACTCACAGAGTCCCGCCATTCTCGGCCTCCTGAGTGCTGATCTATGAACGTGAGCCGCCATCCCTGGCTCACGTCATGTGAAATCAGTTAACTTGATTTATAACATCTAAGTATGGAGACATAAGGATTGCGTTTCCCTTAAACTGATGACATGAGTGTCCAAAGGGCTTCGACAGACAGAAGAGAAGCTGAGCACTCGCTGAGGCCAGAGGGAGCACTGGGTTGCCCAGAGGAGACCAGGGAGGGACCTCAATGAAGTGGCATGCTGAACCCATCTACTTTCTCAGGCAGCCGCTACTCCACTGGCCAAGTCTGAATGGCCTGGGCCATGGTAAGGGAACACAGCAGAGCTAAGCAAGTCCAAGGCTGCCCCAAAGCCTGAATTGCACCAGAGGACCTCAGGTCTTCTGAAGCCCCCAGGTCTAGAGCCAGGCCCCAGTGCAAGCTGGGAGCCTCCACATGGTGAAGCCCAGTGGGAACGGGTGGAGATCCAGGCTCCCCACGCATTTATTTGTACAGTCTGGGGTGTGTTTCCTCTCCCTCACAGCCTCCAAGACTCGTTTCTGAGAAACTCTAGTCTTCTCTTAACAAAATGGAGGTGGGAAGAACCTGTCCCTCCCTTGGTGAGGAGAGGAATGGGGGGGGGGTGAGGGAGCTGAACTGAAGGGATGGTAGCAATGGCTGCCTCTCTGAGGCCAGAAAAGCCAAGGTGTGTCCACAACCAGGAGCACATGTGTGTCTTAGACCCTCAGGGCTACACAGATAGATAATCTGGACCCCAAGACAAGTGCTTCCTTCCAGCATGGGGGGGGGGTCACTGTAGATGGCACACTGGTGAACAGCTGGGACAGTGACCAAGCCTCATGACAAGGACCAGGCTTGCAGCAAAGGTGTTCTCTTCCCCCACCTAACATGGGGCTTCAGACAAAGACTTTAATTCCTTTGTGCCTCCATTTCCCATTGGCTAAAATAAGGAGGAAGTAGGGCGTGTGGAGAGGGAGAAAGGAGGAGGAGATGGCGGATAGGGCCTTGTCAACTGTTGTTAGGTTTCAATGGGAAACCCAGGTAAAGGTCTAAGGACAGAGGCTGGCACCAGGAAAGTTCACGGGAGCAATAGAAAGGATAGTTGGGGGCGGGGGCACCGCGCAAGGCAGAGGTGGGGGGGACTCTCGGTGACCTACAGGCCGTGAGGTTCTGAGGTTCCAGTCCAGAAGTGCTTCCTGTGTCCCACCAAGCCATGTCTCGGTTTGTTCCGGAAGCGTGTTGAACAAGGCTGTAATCCCAACACTCCAGAGGCTGAGGTGGGATGACTCTATGCCGCAGAGCAGCCTGGGATACATAAGAAGATCCTCAATATCCAAAATAAACATGCTTAAGAAGCCTCCATCTTCCCTGCCATGGAACCTTGTTCTCTAACACAACGACCCTGGCTCAGGTTTAAGCCCTGAGACTGGAGGCTACAGGGTGACTTGGGTACATCCCTTCCCAGAGAGACTCCACTCTGATGCCATACTCAGCAGAGCCAGCCCTGACTGGCCTTGATTGTGTGGGGCTCCCCAGCTTGCACTGCCACGGGAGCCTTCCTCTAGTGAGGGTTCACTCCCACATCCCTTCTCAAACCCATGACCACTTAGCCGGGGGCCATGATGAGACTTCAAAGGAAGTCCACAGCTGCCAGGCTAGCTGGCCTTCCTGGTCGCTCTCGTTGTAGACAGACCTCTCTCCCAACCCTCTGGAAGCTCAAGGAACTTGAAAGCCTCCAGCTAGGGGATACTCGGCCCTGATAGGAAGGTAAGGAAGATGAGCTAGCTTGAGGAACGCATGGAAAAATGAAGCTGATCACCCGCTACCTCTCCAGCAGGCAGAGGATGCAGTGGGGAAGAGGTCAGTGGCCCTGAGATCCTCCAAGGCCAAAGTCTAACATAACTACCTGAAGTCTGAGACCTGGCCTCTGCCCAAAGCCCCACGAGAGAACAGACACCTGTGTACAACTCTGTGCTTAAGCCTATTACAAAACCGTGAGTGCCTATGAGTAAGACAGCAGAAGAGAGACACTGGCTACATCTGCTGCCTCCGAAACCAGACAGCCTGGACTTGAATCACAAGTTTACCAATTATTAACTCTGTGTCCACTCACCCATCTGTTAAGTGTGGCAAATAATAATCATTAACTCGTGACACTGTTGTCAAGATTAAGCCACTTAATCTCTTTATAGTGTTATATAATAATGTTTACAGGGGTAATAAGTTCCCGATAGATATTAGGTGTAATTATTACATGGGCCTGTGTATCTCCACATCCCCGGGTATGGAATCAGGTGTACATATTGGTTATCTTAGTTAGAGTTACTATTGCTGTGATGAAACACTATGACCAAAGAACCTTGGGGAGGATAGGATTTATTCAGCTTATGCTTCTACATCATCAGTGGAAGTCAGGGCAGGAACTCATGCAGGGCAGGAACCTGGAGGCAGGAGCTGATGCAGAGGCTGTGGAGGGGTGCTGCTTACTGGCATGCTCCTCATGGCTTGCTCAGCCTGCTTTCTTATAGAACCCAGGACCACCAGCCCAGGGATGGCACCACCCACCATGGGCTGGGTCCTTCCCCATCAGTCACTAATTAAGAAAATGCCCTACAGACTTGCCTACAGCCCGATCTTATGGAGACATTTTCTCAGTTGAGGCTCCCTCCTCTCTGATGACTCTAGCTTGTGTCAAGTTGACATAAAACTGGCCATTGGTGTGTTTTGATGATGAATGGTGAACGCATCTGGATATCTGTGTTTCTGGGAGTGTCTGTATAGTCAATGATAATAAAAAGTGCTGGCACTGTTGTGTGTTGCATGGAACAGACACTGGGAATTCTATAGGCATTTACACAGACACACACATATTCACAAGGGTATGAATGACTGAGCACACATTTGGCTACAGAGCACCCACAAACAGCCACCTGCTTTAGCCCTACCCAGAGTGACCCCCTTCCAGTGGGCTGTGGGAGACAACATCTCACAGTATGAGTTACCTGTCCCTCAGCACCAAGGCAAAGTAATGGGCTGTAACTGCCATCGAGCCTTTTCCCAGACCCTCAGTTGGCTGAACTGCCCGTATCGTCTCTCATCCAATAGGAAAGGACATGGACATAAGGAGCCTGAACCAGAGTCCACCAATCGCATCCTTTCATCTAACGATCACATGACCTGCCTCTGCCAGGGAGGATTCCTGATCAGCTAGGCCATCTTTTCACAGTGGATGTCTCCACAACTCCCTCCCCATCTGAGTGGGCTCTGACCCACACTGAATGCATCCTCCCTGGGGTGGGGGGCAGATCTTAAATCAGCAAGGAAGTGGGGATCCCCCCCCCACTCCCCTGT